TTTAATCGAAGTTCGAGCACGTTCACCTGTCGATACGGCGCTGACCTTACGAATATCGTGACATTCACGTGATCGAAGATAGCAAACCGCTTTCCGCTATTGAGGAAAGTCCTTGTCGATGATAAAACCGATATTACCTCGTCATCTTGTTTCATATCGTACGATGAAGAGGAAATGGCAAGTGACGGGGAGGAGGAGGAAAAGTCAGGGAGATCGCGTTATTGCATGCACAGCCCTGATCTTTGGAGCGAGGAGACCCGTCGTTGCGTTGGTGTTGTCGACTTTTGCGCAAGTGCGTAGATATCGTAATGGAGGAGACCGCGAAGTATCGCCAGTCAGCATCTGCCGCGCGAGTGATATATGATTTTCAAACGATACAATACAAAAACGCGGCACGTAAACAGGCGATAAATTGAGCAATATCTCCTTTAAAAGACATCTCCGTTGTCTGAAATAACTATTCTCGTATTGATCGCCAAAGTTGATGATTATAAAAATCGAAGACTGCCTATGTAGGCCAACTGAGAATAGCAACTGTGAATCTTAGAGATTATAATACCGGATATCTTTGTTGTTGACTTTTGTCTTTGCTATGATTAAAAAGATGCTGCAGTATACAACCTTGGTAAAAAATATTAGGTATTTTGTTAACCATGAGCTTTGAAATCCCCTAGGATTAGTATTTTTATTCACCAATGTCACCATCGATCTTTATTTTGCACAATTAAGATTGGTATAACGTTTCGCGGAAAACTAATCTTTTTATTGGTCTTTTCAGCAGAAAAACAGCTTTGCAATTCATGATTCTTTAATATGATTTATTATACATTTAGATGAAGCAAGGAATTAAGGGCAAGAAGAAGCGCAACCATTTTTATAATTTTCGTAATTAATTGGAAATAATATAATAGGTAAAAGAATATAAGATTAATGGAAAAATATAGATGCCTTATATTTTTTACCAAGGTTGTGATAGCTGGAGTTTGCATTAATTAAATTGTAACTTTTAATTTGCTTCACGCAAGCAATTCATTAAATTTTATGAATTTTGAAATCCTCTGTCGAAGTTAAGTACTTTATTTTTATATTACCATCGATCTTTATTTCGTACAATTAAGATTGATATAACGTTTCGTAGAAAACGATCTTTTTGTCGGTCTTTCCAACAGAAATACTGATCTTCATATCCGACCTTGTCACTCGTTATTGTCGAGACGTTAATTGTTGCCACTAATTCACTATAATTCCTCACATTGTGAACAAGAACAATGACCGCTTAGCAATCCTAGTTCCTTAATTAAATGATATCATTGAGCTAAAATATGTATATCCTACATATTTCTAGAAAATAAAATCTAATTATATACGAGCAACAGTAGTTGTTTATAATTGAAGAATTGAAAGTAGAAAGGAAAAATCTCGAGAAAAATATATTGATATCTTATAAAGCAGTATATATTTACTTCTTTTATTTTTGACATCATTGAAGTGACAAACGAGGTTAAGGATAATGTAATGAAATTAAATTTGGCTTCTTTTTATTAATTGAAAAAAAAAGAAGTTTACTGCGCAACAAAGTCGTATAAAAAAATAATAATATGCGACGCGCCGCGCCGGTTGCATGCTTCGAGGAGCTTCCTCAAGGACAACTGCGCGACATTTGCATATCTTGAATCGACGATTCTGAATGGTTATGCGGATAGGAATGTATAATTCGAGGAGGGGTACCAATCGAGGAGCAAACGTCGGAAGCGAATTTCAACGTGAGAGATGCATGAAGATCTACTTTCGTCCACTCGATTTTCCCACGAATAAATTGCTAACATCAAATTTGCTGCGGTTATAATTGAGTCTCTTCATGAATTCCTAATATTTAGGACAGTTAACTGATGTGACCTTCATTATGTATGAACCACAGAAACCCGTGATTTTCTTCATGGCAAGCGCCGAGTAAATGTTTACGCTCGCTCGCACATCCTTCATTTTCAAACGTTTGTAGAACTCGACACAATCATGACCTTGATGATTCGTTGAACTCTTGGAATAAGGAGAAAATGCCTTTGAAGTTTGAATATAAAAGCTGACTTATATGAACGCTACAAATGCTTTGAAGTATTTTTATGATCAATTAGTAAAATTCTTTCTTCTGATTGATAAATTAAATGCTTCGAAACATTATAATGAATGTTTGACTCAGACTTATTGTTTCCATCTTTCAACTCGTTGTCTCATTTTTACTCTCATTTTTCTCTTTTTCTATTTAGCTACTTAGATATTTTTGTTCCTTTATTCCTATTTTTACTTATTTCTATGTTCTTAGATGGCTTGCTTAAAATAGTAATGAACATTTTTATTTATTTGTGTATCCATCTCTCTTTCTTTCTCTCTCTCTCTCTCTCTCTCTCTCTCTCTCTCTCTCTCTCTCTCTGTCTCTCTGTTTTATCTATTAGTTTATTTTTTTTTATTTAGTTATTAAATTACCACATAATTTATTCGAAGATGGCACTACCGACTAGACTAATATTCATAGCCGGTTCTTATTTTAAGACCGTCTTAAATAATGTCTGTGTTAAGATACTAATGTCTATCTTAAGACTGTACTGAAGATGGTCTTAAATAATATAAGAACAATTGTGAATACCAGTCTTATAATGTTCGATATGAAACAAGATTCCAATATTAGTACAAACTCAGGCGTTTGATTGACAAATGAAATTGGCTGACGACACTTACAATATCAAAGTAATAGTAGTAACAACCCTCCTAAGTCTCCATAAGTCCATAATTCTCGAACACAGCGCACTCGTTTTAGCGCAACCACGGATTTCGATGATGCGGCAAGCAAGAGTGCATTTGTAAACATCGTGGATCAATGGCGTGTCATCGACATTTATCAGCAGGGGATGTTGGCGGGAGTGTGCGAGGAAGGAGAGAAAGACATTTACAAGTGATAAAATTACGCGCATGAGTCATCATGCGAGTGGATCATCGCCGCTACTATTTCAGGCAGTCTCGAATAAATTCGACTGTACCCCTCCGGATGAAGAAAAGGAGGGACATTCTCCTTTCGCGTCATTTCGCGTCCACGCGATTATCGTTGCCATCACTGCTGGTCACGTGTGGTGTGCCACCTCCTCTTTCTGTCCGATCATTCATAAAATCGTCACGTAATTTTCCTCGTCATCGATTACTTTCGTTCGTCTAGTTCAGTGCTGGTTCATACCTTGAGACAAGAGCCATCGATGTCATGTCACTTATGTCTGTTTCTACCGATATAAATTAACTTTAATCTGATTCAACTTACTCTTCACTTTTCTTGTTCTAAGAATTAGCAAAAGATGAAGAGTAAGTTGAACTATGAAACTCATGGAAGTGTCTTCAACAGTTCAACTTACTCTTCATCTTTTGATGAGAAAGAGATATTGCACTTTCTAAAAGTGTGATTGAGCCCATGTAAAAAATACGTGTCTCATATTTTTGTCTAGAAAACAATGTATTCAATGTTTATTGAAATCGAGAGGGAATACTTCCATAGGTTTTCTTGTGATAAATAACTTAGTATCCATCATGATTGGGCCATTCGTGTTCTGCGAATTTCTTTTTAAAAATACTAGACGCACCTGGCTAAATATTTTTCCTTTTTCAAATACATAATCTTACAAATATTTTCCAAAGATATTAAAATATGTATAAAAATCGTTTAACAATTTTTATATAATACTTGTAAAAATGAAGAAAATTAATTCAAACATATAGGCATTAGTGTTTTGAGGAGTTGCAAAATTTTCTCATAAAGATATTAAGGATAATTTAAATTTCACTTTCCTGGCATCTGATGCTATAGCGTAATGTTTGCATAAAACAAAATGAGCGATTGCAAAGCGACGTTGACTTTCTCTCGCAAACTTTCAGATAAATTTGCATTTGCTTTCTAAGTTTATAGACGACAATCGACGATCAACATTTGTGTCTATTCTTATACTTATTCTATATAAAAAAAAAAGTAATTGCACTTAGGCCGAAAGACTATGCATTGAAGATTGAGATTAAAAATTAAAGATGGAAATTTCACCAATGAGTATAAAGAAGTTTTAGCTCCTTTTTCTGATTGGTCAAACTTCAATCTCATTCTTTAATGCGTAGTCTGAGTCTTAGTGATGGAACGATCGATGTTCGTAACGCGAACACACGCCGGAAATTGATTTGGGGCAACCGCGAGACTCGCCGTCGTCCCTGTAACCCGGTGAATACCCCTGACCTTACGGACTTCCCCCTCTTGGCTGTGTAACTATAGGAATTACGCACAAGGCGCGGGAATGTCGAAATGTCACATTTTGAAATTGTCCGTGAATCATATTACGAACTCTCCTCCCCATCCCTGTGAACGGAACTATTGTCGTGTCGTTGGTGTCACATCAGATCTTGCGAGTATACGTGTATACGTCGTGTAGGCGTAATTGTCGTGTAGGTGCGCCATGCTTCTCCTGCTATTTTGGCCAGGGCCACCTGCGCGGATTATCGGAGACACCTCTTCTTTTTTATAACGAAAGGGATGTAACGCGGTGTCTCTGAGAGGAAGCCGTGATGCAACGCCGGTTTATCGTGATCCAGTATTTTCTCTCTCGAATTTAAATAAAAGAGGTTGCAGTGGCAAATGTAGACTCGTACTTTGACTTTAAAATGTAACGCGAGTTACATTTTCTTCGTAAATAAATAATCTAATCTACAGTGTTCTTTTTGTATTCTTTCTGTTTTTTTATCACTTTTTATTTTTCTTTTTGACTTTTATCCTGTTTTTTCATTTTCTATCGTCTAAGGTTGATGAACCTTGGAATAGACAAGAAATATGTGACGAGAAACGCGATTGTCGATAAAATTATCGCCAAGAAAAGAACAGATGAAAATTAGACACAAAAAGCAAAAAGCACATTATAGATTAAGTAGCCTTAATTCTGAAACTAACTAGCCATTATTACAACAGTCTTTCTTTCGTGTTGCAGGATCAGCTCTTGTAGAGAGCGACCGACTGATAACGCACGAAGATCTCTCTCCGTCCAAGGACCCGGCAGCGACTGCGAAACGACACTGCACGGGTCAACAAAAGCACAAGTGATATTTGTAACTAATAATTAACGCGATTAGAGCTTAGAGGAGCCGAGACCGTTCTTGCGAAACTCCGTATTTGTATATACAAATGTCGGATACTCGAGCCGTAATATTCAGTGCTAAGTCCAAGTGACGCGAAGTGTGTTCAACGCATCTCACTACGATTCCGCGTGGACCAGGACACGATACAGAACGGCAAAGTAACGGCTGCATCGAGTGACACACCGAGTGTGTACGTGTGCGTGCGTGTGCGTGCGTATCTGTGTGTGCGCGCAACATGAGAGTGGCCAGGCAACATCCATTGCATTTGCAAGTATCGACCCGCACCAATAATGGCAAGTTCTTGGTCGGTACCAATAATAGTCAAGACGTTGTCCATCAGCAGCCATCACCGCAGCAACAGCAGCATTCGACCAGCGACGAGAGCAGCGCGGTGGTTCCAGGCTGCGTCTTTCCGAGCTGCGAGTCGGTGCCCACCGACCTTCACGGGAGCCCAACTATACTGGGGGATCGATTCCTGCTTCTTGGGCCGGCCGAAGGTAGCGCTCTTTATCGATGCGTCGATGTGCACAACGACCAGCAACTTGTCGCCAAGGTTAGATTCGAGATTCCTTTACAAATCAGTTCATCATTTTCGCTTCAGCTCCAACATGGAAAAATCTTGTTCTATGTTTCTATAAAATCTTAGTGATTAGTAGGAATTATTTAATATTTCTAAATCTAATCTAATATCGCTAAATATTTGTAATATCTCGACAATCAGTAGGAGGTATAATATTTATTCCTTACATTTAAATAGTATATAATTTCTTTTATTAGCAATACAATGGTTGCGTTTAAAAGACAAGCTGCTCAATAAACGCTCAGTGATTTTTTAATATGTTTGTCTTTAATTTTTTGTTGAATTTAAATTGTACAGACCGAGCATGATAATAACTGAATGTTCACTGACAATGAGTTAAGGTCGTAGCACAGAATTTTGCATAATGCTGCATAACGCATAAGAGAATCAGTCAAAGTCCTTCATTTCGTACTTTGATTGAATTCCTTATTCTTTATACAGTGTTAAGACAGGAGTTAACGATAGATTTTTGCACAATGCATAACGCATAAAGTATAAGAATCTTTTATTTTATGGAAAGAAAGAAAATGAAGGACTTTGATTAATTCATTTTCTTATGTGTTAATGCAAGACTTGATACTCCCACCCGTATGCAAAAATATGCTGCGGCCTTTGTTTTTTGAACGCAGCTTATATATTAACAACAATATACTATTAAACGATCAGCAATACATGCGATAATTTTATAAGATCTATTTTAATTTTAGACTTTTTATATTGCTTATTTCTCAAATATTGCTTTCTTAACACGTCGAGGGAAAAAAGGTATTATTTACAACAGAAATTGATATTCTGAACGGTATTCTTATATAATAACGGCACAAATGGCTAACGCGATAAATAACCAAGGTTTCGCAATACCCGATGGCAATATCACGAATTAGCTTCTTGCTGTATAATGCGGCATTGGCGCGGCATATAAAGGCGACGCAGCGCGCCATCGCACGTGGATGCATCCGCGGCGCACTGCAGCTGCCGAGTTTCCATCCAACTGCCGTGGCGTTATATAATAGAGCATACGGACGTAACGGTTCGCTAATGTTCGGGTCGATCGAAGCTTCCACCGTGAAGCTCGTTGCGAGATCAACGACGACGCAACCGAACGGTGTTCGTCTGGGAAACGTTTACGACTTCCTAGAGGAAGACTCAATTAATCCTTATCTAGACGACCTCTTTCCCTAATTGAAGGGAGAAAAAAAACGATTTCCGTTGAGATATCCGTTCAATAGAATCGCTCGTCCACGATTTAAGGTCAAGATATTTTAAGTATGTCGAGGATGTCGAAAAATAAAGGAATCTATCGGTTTTTTTTCTTTTAGCACTAAAATATTGAGTCATTAATGATCGTTTCTATTTTTTAGATTAATATTATTTTTCTCGTGAAAGGATTCTCGTGATAGGATTCTGAATTTTTTTATTTTTCAATAATTATGTCCTTTTTACTGATAAAACGTTTGATTTTTCATCATTTTCGTTATTTTCGTAATAGTAATTTATAGCTTATGCTCATTTCTATGAATAATAATAAATTAATTTTAATCTTGATTCAATTTATACTGTTTATTTTTTCTAATTTTTAGAATTAGAAAAAATTAATGGTCTTTCTACAGTAGCCCATTATCTAAGCTTTAAATCGTAAGTAAGAATTTATTTTTATTCTTTTCATTCGATTGTGATTGGTCAATTTCTTACGGCTTAAGACTTAAAGTTTAATTATTTTATGAAACCCGAGAGAGAGAGAGAGAGAGAGAGAGAGAGAGAGAGAGAGAGAGAGAGAGAACAGAAAATAAGAGATTTCTAAATATTAAAATTCCCTGTTCCTATTGCCTATTCTTTCCATTGTTTTTAAGTTGAACTGAAATTAAAGTTAATTTACATTGGTGGAAATGAACATTAGTTCTTTAATGCCCATTTCCATCAATATAGATATAATTTTAATCTCAGTCAACTTCAACTTACTCATATCTTCATTTTTCTTTAATCTTTAGAAGAGATGAGGAGGTAAATTGAAGCGACATTAAAATTAATAATTAATCTACATTGAATACATTGGAAATAGGTATTAGTGAGTAAGAAACGTTAATACTTCTAATATTTATAACATGCTTATTTCAGATTTCTCGTGCAATTCTTATTGAAAGCGCTTTTAACTCGAAGTTTCGAGACTCCGCATTTTGCATCGATAACGACGGATTTCGTTACGTTAGATCAAAGTACATATGCAAACGTAACACGTGCGCAAGTCGTTTCTTGTTCCTTGAATGCATTTATGTTTATTTATGTCTATTTGCATCGTATCGTTTACGCTTACATGCTTGGAATTTCATATGCGCGGAAGGATTTCAATGTTTCGGTTCTCCTTATTTTTCTCGCTCTCTTCTTTCTCTTTGCAACTCGCTCGAAAGGAACTGTCGCATAACTTATGACTACGAGTCGGCGTGGATTAAATTTTATATCAGAATCTACCACGAGCAATTTTGTTAAAATCATACAAGAGGGAAAAGTATAAATTTTTCCCTATAAACTATCTCATACTAACTTCACTTTAGAATTTTAATTAAAATCATAGAATGAGAGTACACTAAAAAAAATTTACTAAATCTGAATACACATTTCTTTGAATAGTATTAAGTAAACATTTACTTACAAGTACATAAATATTTGCTCAATAAAAAAAAAGAAGCTAGTTAAATCACATTAATGATTTTTGTATCAAATAAATATATGTTTACATTTAGTTTATATTTACTTGGAATCATTTAAACGAATATTTATTAAAATTTTGTTTTTTTCCAGTGTATAAGTTAAAGTGAGATGATAAATAGTAGATACATAGGGAGAAATTATATATTTATCTTTCTCTCTCATAGGATTTTGATAAAATCGTTCGTGGCCAGATTCTGATATAATAGGATCTTTAGCGTGGACTTTCCTCCCCACCGCGTTTTCCACTAACATTTTACAATCGCCACGCGTTATACAATGAGCCGCTTACATCATCGGCGTTGTGAACAAACACAAGGTTGTGTCACCTCGCACCCGCCTCTCTCTCCTCGTGACATCCGTCGCATATCGCCACACACTGTCCGTTATTCATAATCGCTTCTAAAGCCACGGTCGTTTAATTTAATTGACGATTACACACGAGAGCGTCGCGCGTTTTCGCAAGCGTCCACCGCTTCGCTGTGCGAATCGCGATTGTGATTTCGGAGGAAGAAGAAATAGGGGTCACCGTTATTTCGGAGAAAGGGAGTCGTAGCCAGACTAAAGCCTCTTAACTCTTCTCGAAATAGTTGCGAGTCAAGAACGCGTATTATAAAAGAAAGCGTTCATTGTTATTTATATTTTTTGATCACTCTGTATACTTGCAAAGTTTCATTCGACTGAAGACGAATTCGCGTCAAAAAAATTTTTCCATAAAACAGGTAAAAAAGATAATCGTTATTCCATATATTCATTAATTATATCGAACACTGAGAAAAAGGTTGAAATATTCAAAAGCAAATGTTACTTGTGACATTTTCTTCGATATATATTGCTTATAAAAAATATAGTCTGATGACAGACTATACATTTCTGTAAATATCTTATTTTTTTTATTATAATTGTAAAAAAATAAAAATGGATGGCTTATTTGCTAAGAGTAGTTTTATTTCATATTTAAATGAGGATTTAAATTATTAATTATTTAAATAAAGATTTATTTTGGAATGAAATAAACATATTTTTAAGTCCTTTTTTCTCAGTGCACTTGACAAGTTGCTGAAAAGTTGGTATTTGAATTGACTGTTTGCCCAAAAGGCTGATTTTTCTTCTTTTACGTTCATTTTTTATTATCAAAAACCGCGAACGAGTTTTGGGCGCATTTTCTCGAGGCATTACAAAAGCGTGTCCGGTGGCCGATCGGGGTGATTTCGTAAAGAATGCACGGTGCTCTTATTAAACTAATGGGACTCGAATGTTGAAATGGTGTCAGGTTTCGACACGAGCCAGAGAGATGAACAGCTGGACGAGTAGAGTTTCAAAAGTAATCGACGATTTCGTTTATTGTATGGTAGTTTTCATAACACACAGAGTTTTTTGCTGGCAAGGATCGAAAAAAAATGTTATTTATAAATAAATAATGCATATACAACCGATTAGATTCTATTCCCTTTCTTATTTTTTTATTTGTTATATCAAGAGTTAATTATAATTAAAATTATGTCAAATGCATTTGTATGTAATATAGCTTCAAATTACTTTGATATTGAAATCTGAAAACTCGGTTAATTAAAATTAATTGGAAAAATTGGAGCGGATATAATTTTATCAGCTTCAAACCTCGAGATTGTAAAACTAGATAAAGAATCACATATCTTAATAATCATCATTTAAAATATGCGAAGTGAATATTGCTCTCTTACGGATATCCGTTGGAATAATTGGAGCTCGTTACGATAAAATTCACTTCCACTCGAACCGAAATTGAACACAGAAATTGATAGTCAGTATATCGAATTTCCGTCAAGCATACTTGTTAAAAGAAAGAAGCGTATCCGTCCTTTTAACTTCTGTACAATCTACTTTTAAATCATATATACAAATATATTAAAACTTATTCTAGAAATAAAGACTTATTAATCAGGAATATTAATCTTTAAATAAGTGATCACAATATCTCACGCAATAATCTTAAAAACCTTGTTCTGAAAAAGGAAAATAAAAAGCCTTGTCCAGAAGTCTTAAAGTTCATTACTTTTACATTTAATTTTATACATACTAAATAACTGTTCTCTAAATCTAAATCAGTGGATAATGACTGATACCATGCCAAGTATGCCACTATAATCAGTGAATTAAATGTGAGATCCTAACCTAGCTAATCTTTAATGTGTGATCTAACTAATCTTGTTTTAATGCTTAAATTTAATATGGTATTACAAGATTGAAATTAATTGAAATTAACGTGTAAATATCAGTATTTTAATTATATAATGCTCAAACATTCTTCCTTTCTTAGTTGAACTTCACTGATTATCAGTGCAAAGTATGCCATTGGGTAATTAGTGACTATCCACTGATTCAGATTTAGAGAGTGTATTATCAAAAAATAAAAATAAAAATAAAATTTTGTGGGGTGTACTGAATATCTTAGAGTTAAAAGTTAAATCTGCTTAAAAGTGAAATGCAATAAATAATGAAAAATACTGTATCAATTAATTAATTATGACTAGTAATTGCAATTAGGAAATGAAACATCTATCTAGTAATACAGATTTGACAAATTTTGACAGATTGTGGAGTTTCACTTCCGGCATATTTTAACAATATTTTTAACAGTATTTATTGCAATTGTCTTTGTTGCTGAGTCCGTTGCATTTCCGGATTGCAGGCGTTGACCGTGGGCGACAAAGGTTGCGAGGCGTTGCTGCAGGCCCACCTTCGTCTGGAAGGCACCGGCGCGGCGAGCGGTGTGGCTGGTGTAGTGGAGGCACCTGGAGGTCGGCGTTATCTTCTCTTGGAGGGTCATCACGGTGACCTGCACGCCTACGTAAGGGCACGCAGGAGATTACGCGAGCCTGAAGCAAGGCGGCTCTTTCGACAGGCAGCCAGGGCTGTGGCCACGTGTCATGAATACGGGGTCGTGTTGAGGGACCTCAAGCTCCGGAAGTTTGTTTTCGCCGATGAAGCGAGGTAAGAATCCGTCTAGTTCAGTATTTAGCTTCTTCAAAGTAAATTCGACTAAACTTCGCCTTAACTTACTCAATGATTAACTTGTGAAGTAGGACGTAAAATATTTTATATATATTTTAACATAGAATTATTAATTTTACGCCCCTATCGTAGACTATTGTATATTTAAATTTAATTATTTTATTTTTTATTTTAAAACAAAATAATTATATTTATAATGCTGTAAAAATGTTGAAGCATTATGAAGGAAGAATATAAACACATTTTTTTCAAATCAGTTTTTATCGTAGTTGGATGTCTATTATACTTATATGATAACGAAGTAAATTTCAAATTGATGTTTGATAAAAAAAAAATAATAATTTTTATAAAAATAATTTTTCTCTCGACGATTTATTGAAAGTTGATAAGTGACATACATCCGGATTGAAGCGAAGGTGTATCGATAGCTCAGAGTTCGCGTTCGCTTTTCCGAGTGAAGGGGAAATCGATTGCTCCGAGTGTGCTTTTCTCATGCGAATAACCTCTCCGTTCTCAACGCTGGAAAGAAATACTTGGGATATGAAAATAAAATAAATATGAAATTTATCGCGTGACATTCGTTCAAGAACAAGAAGAAAAAAAGCGTGTTAGTACACATAGACATAGCGTATCAAGATGCACTTCATTCTCATTTAAAATAAACTCATTCAAGAACACTCATTGTTCTATGTCTATAATATATCGAAATGGAAGAGAAAGTGAAGTGTGTTGATTGATTGATATCAATCACTTTCTAATTAAGTTAAACATATTACAAAACATCATACAAACATTATGTCTAATTTATGATCCTCGAAGCCAGTGATTTTTTAAGCTCGACAGAGGCAAGCGATACGAAACGACCCTGTCTGTGAAAAAAAAAACCAAATGCAAATTACATGAAATTAAGTAACTTCTTCAACTCAAATCAAATTTAAATTCGCACAAACTTTGACTTTAACTCAATCCAAATTTAAGTTCGCATAAAGTTAAATTTTATATCTAATGCATAATGAAAAAGATATAATAGAAACAGGGAATAACAAATAACCTATCAGAAATCGTGTATACCAGAATACACGGCTAGGTTGAAATATTATTCTCTGTTCCTATTCTTTTCAACTGTGTCTCAGGCTCGATTCATTGTCAAACAGGTGCATCAAAGTCGCTAATGATTATGAATAAATTGCAAATCCTTACGAGTTACGAACAATGTAATCGCTTTCATTATATTCCTGTAGGATTTCACATCGAGTCGTGATTTAGGGTGTGTTTGCGAGACTCGTTGGTGCGACGTTATCTGTTCACGATACAACATACGACGCACCCACGTGTCGCTGCGGAAGGCAGACAGACAGGCAGGTCAGGCCTATGTATAATACATACAGGCAACAGTCGACCAAGTCAAACCGAGCCGAGCCAACGGGCGTGTGTTGTGTGTCGTGTACATGCCGGGCAATCGAGAGATCGACAACGGACTCGTATGTCGGTCCGTTGTTGGCCAATCGCATTCCTACCGCGCGGCGAGCTGCTGCTCCCGCGCGCGCGTACGTAAGAATAAGGAGAGTCCGGGGAATGTTGCAAGCCAGAAAAGCATATTGGTTCATCGGCTGCTGCGGCGGAGTTTTGAAACGTCGGTATAATTAGGAAACGCGTGGCTCGGCTCGTTTCACCGGCATGGCACGGCGCGACACGGCGCGTGATATACTTTCCTCCCTTTCTCTGAGAGGGAAGAGTTTCTCGCCTTCCTCGAGTAATCCTCGCGCAATCCCCTTAGAATACAATAATGTGCGAAATTCGGTAGCTAATGAAAAGTTCATGATAATAATTATCGAATGGGAACCCTTTAATCGGCATGCACTAAATTCTGTAAGTTTGATCAATGTGGTAAATTAATTCATTAATACCAGTTTCTACCAATGTAGATTAACTTTAATCTTAGTTTAACTTCATCTTTTTCTAATTTTAAAAATTAGTAAAGAATAAAGAGTAAATTAAACCAAAATTAAATGGACACTGGATACTCCTTTCTACCAATATATGTAGTTTAATTTTAATTTCGGTTCAACTTACTCTTCATCTTTTTCTAGATCTAAGAAAGAGATTGAAGTTAATCTACATTGATAGAAATGAGCATAATAATACCTCAATTCCAATGTACAGATTAGCTTTAATCTCAGTTCAACTTTTAATCTTTTTTTATTATAGTTCTAAAAATTAGAAAAAGATGAACAGTAAGTAATTGAACAAAAATTAATCTGCATTGAAGAAAACAGGCATAAATCTCACACTGAAAAAAATATAAGTATTAAATTTTAATAAATATTTGTTTGAGTAGTACTAACTAAATATTTATTAAATATAAACTGTATTTGGTACAAGAATTATTAATTGATTTAAAAGTGTCATTTTTTTATTGAGCAAATATTTATTGAATAAATATTTATTTATTTGTTTAAACTTTAATCGGCATGCGCTAAATTCTGTCTAAACATTTACTAAATGTTTAGATATCAATAAATATTTGTTGATACAGTAAATATTTAGTTAGTACTATTTAAACAAAATATTTATTAAAATTTAGTATATTTTCAGTATACGATTTTAAAAGAAATTACTCTCGCAGTTACTGGTTTCGAATGCGTTCTTCTTCCTTTTCGAAAGTTTGCAAAGATCTCCGTGCACGGATCTCTCTCGCGTGGGTTTCTCTTTACCTCATCGACTGACAATAGGCGGATTAAGGCGATCAAATCAGTCTTTTCCCGGATGCGCCTTCGCATATGGAGTTCGACCTATGATAATTTGCTAAATACGTCACGCGCGTGTTTTAATAAAAAACATGCGTCGTCATTATTGTTATTATCGTCATCATCGTTGTCGTCAACGACATTGCAACTCTTGATAAAAAACATAATGCGATCACGGGGCCGAATTTCTTTCTACGCACCACGTTTCGCAACTACACTGAGCATTAAACTAGTCTAGTTCGACGTCGAATTCAATCGTCTGGACAGTCATTCGTGAGGTTAATGATCTCGATGAGTAAAATCGTCAGCCTCGTTTAATTCTTGCGCCCGAGACACTCTATTCTTGAAAGTGTAAATCCGGGACGTTGACCTGAGGACCTGCATTCGGGCATTTCGCACGGACATCCGTGTAATTTATTTAAATATTTACATGAAACATTAACCTTTAAATGCCTTTTCGGCGTGACATATCTGATTTTCTTTTTTCAATACTTTTTCCATTGCTTATATAACTTTTTTATTAATAAATATCAAAGTTGCATATATTTGCTTAATGTTCCTTAAGTACGTTCCTTAGGTTTCTTATTTTCTGATTAATTTATTTTGAAATTAACTTCACTTAATTTAATATTAATGTAAAAACTATGTTTTTCTGATTATGATTAATTATTAAATTGATGGTTTTATACTGATAACTATATAAAACAATTAATTTAGTGATTAACTGTATAGCTAAAAAATACACACACACACACACACACACAAAATTTTTATCATCAGATTAAATATATAAATTAATGAGAAAATGAAAAACTGGACCTTAACGTCTAGCATTTTGATTGAAGAAAAATGTTTTACAATATGTTTATTTTTATGGAAATTACAAGCAATCGAATAGGTATGTTATAGTATTATTCTCGTAGTATGGCGTTTAAGGATTAAAATAATATTATTTTTTACAATTACGAACTATATTTTAAATTTTCAACTTGATATTTTAACTCGGTATTTACAGGATGGCTATTTTAGAATAAAATATTCTAAAAAAAAATAATTTCTACATCCGTGAGATGGATTATGTGATTCGTTCAAATATCCACGTAAGCTCGCATCTATATAGCCGATTAGTTACGGATTTTCCTTGTACAGAGTGAAGATTAATATAATCGTGAGATGAAAATTATCTCGAGAAGATTCACCTTGTCATTAGAGACATTAATTTGCCGAGTGACTGCGATAGTTAATTGATTAATGACGCTTGATTAATGATTCAGTAGATGGCATCAGCAAGTTCTTTCTTACATTCTTCAATTGTAATATAGCGAAGAAACGAGAGTTGTGCTCGCGTTTGGAGTTGAAGGAGATCGTTGCCTTGAAAGACCGATGTCTTCAAATATCAACATTTTCTTGACGTTCATAAAATTTCACAAGCTGTCCAAGAAATCACATCATGTCTAGTATCCGCCATACTGAGGGGTTCTTGAACTCAGAGCGATATCGTGCTGTGACCGAGTGAAAGTTTGCGAAGAAAGCTGTGCGATATCCTCCCCCCCCCCCTCTCTCTCTTTTTCACTATCTATATCTCTTCGTGGCGGCCGCGTTTGGTTCATCACGAATGGCCTAGCGTGCCATCGCGTTTGTTCGATGAGAACATCATTTGCTCGTGAGAGAGACGAGGCCATTGACACTCGTTCGGATTGTCAAGATCGTATAACGACTCTCTCGCGTGATGCGTGCGTTCACCGAAGGCGCGCTTCCGTCTCATTAGTCTCTTCCAAAATCTAGTTGAACTAGATTTTTCTTGCTATGATGGCTTCATTGAAAAATGATTCCTTTCAAATAAACACATTGTATTCTACGAATACAATGGATTATATTGTGTAACTTGATTAGGGTTGCCATAAAACTGAAGCTCAGAGAAATGTCAGGGAAATTGAAAGCAGTCAGAGAAATTAGGGAAGTCAGAAAATTTTGCAAAATTTTTTTGTGGAAAGTAAAATTCTTGTCTTTGAAGTAGAGTAATATGTACATCACATCTATGCAGTTTTGAAATACTATCAACTTAATAATTAAATGCAAGCAGTGTCAGTAACATCAGTAGCAATTTATATTACTATATTAAATTGTTCTCCCAACAAAATATTTGATCTTGATAAATGAAAATACAAAACAGTTTCAAAATATTATTGAAAGCATTAGAGAAAATCATGAAATTTTGTTTGGAAATCAGAGAAATAGAATTCTTGCATGAAGAATTTGTGGCAACTTCTTTGACATTATTATTATATCGGTGAAAATGTCTCTCTTGTTAGAAATTTTCTTCATTTATGATGATAAATTCATAAAGCTATATTCACAAAATAACGTTGTATTAATAATAAATTACAACGGAATTAGTGCGAAAGCTTTTACCAACGAAAATTCAATTTTCCAATAAATGCAATTCTGATTTGTTAAACGGGATTTATCTCTTTTTACTTTCCCTTTCAATTTATATTATTTTATTAAACCCGCAGAAGTGCAACGAGTTTTAAAATAAATAAAATACCTTTAACCAGCAATTGTAATATTCCATAAAGCTAAAATATTTCTACTGGAAATGACTCAAAAGAATGACAAGTACAGGAATGTATTTCTGTAGGAGGATATGATATAGAATACGTGGCGCTTTCCCGAGCGCTGCCCCTTCTCCCGAGTGAATATTGTGGGCGAGAATACGAGAACTCGTGTCGAAGGAGAGTTCAGAAGTTACTCAAGAGCCAAGAATATTACGTACACGCGTGACTTCCGCGTTGCAGGTTGATCAACGCAGCGACCGGCCAGGGCAGCGCAGCGCTCTCCTCTCTTTCTCTCACTCTCTCTTCCTCCTGTGTTCGTCATCGCGTCTTATTCCACGCTGCCAACGACGACGATGACGATGACGATGGCTGAGAACGATGGCTCAATCGCGATGTCCTCTTGCTAAATTGAAATACCTTGCCTTCGGGCGCGCACTTAAAGTACACGCGCAAAGCGAATCCGAGAATCTCTCTCGACCGCGCGCATTAAAAGATTGCATGATCCTCGGCTTCTAGTTCGCAAACTTGCGCAGCGAGTAGATCATAACCGGTCGATAATAAATGCAGGGCTTGGCGTAACGCGTGTCTCAGATACGCAGAGTGAATTTCACACGACGATAGGAAAAAAGATCGTAAATCTTTTGCAACGTTTAATATTCTACTCACAACTCCTTTGAGAGAAAGACATAGGTCTTTAATCTTATTGATATTTGGGTGGACTGTTCGTCTGATATACGCCTACTAACTATTGAATAATATTTTTTACATCTTAAGAGCTAAATAAATTAAGACTAAAGGGATAGAGATGGACATATATGGAAAGAACGGTTTTTAAAGTATCTAAAAGTTTAGTTTAATATAGATCTGAGAATAATTATTGAATCATCAAAATGTTTATATAGAACGTTTAGACAATTCTGCAAAACAACATTCTATTCTTAGAAAAAAAAAGTTAAATTAATGTAGTTAATGTTTATTTCTTTCGATGAAGAAAGAAATAAGAAAGTGTGTATTTAAGGCAAACATATTATATTTGACTTAAAAGCATACATTCTCCAATGAAAAAAATTAAAATAATTAAATTAATTTAGTCAAATAAACAATTAATTTAATCAAATGAACATTTTTTCCCTCAGTGTAACAACCAGCTTGAGCGTTCTACATAATTATTTTGAGGGTTCACATTAAATTATTTTCAGATCTATACTTATTGTTAGAATCTAAATCTACATCTGTCTGTATATTTATATCTTGCTAAATTTAAATCTGTATCTATCTATCTATATCTAGCTAACTTTTTAAATACTTCAGCAAAATTGTTTTTTCCGTGTTGGGATATGCAATTCGATTATCTCTCTCTAAGACAATGGCAATTGGCAAGAAATCTTGACGAATATTTTCGAATCGATCGTTTCTTTTTTTCAGAACGCGGCTTCGTCTGGAGAGTCTCGAAGACGCGGTGATCGTGGAGAATGACGACGACAAGCTGACCGACCGGCGCGGCTGTCCAGCATATGTCGCGCCGGAAGTGCTGCGCTCCGGACGCGCCTATTCCGGTAAGGCGGCGGATATCTGGTCGCTGGGCGTGTTGCTGTATACGATGCTGGTGGGCCGTTATCCGTTCAACGACGCCGAGCACGCGTCCCTTTTTGCCAAGATCTCGCGCGGCCTGTTCGCCGTGCCGGAGGGCCTGAGTCCACGCGCCAAGTGCCTGATTCGCTCGCTGCTGCGAAAGGAGCCATCCGAGCGGCCGTACGCCGAGGACGTATCGCTGCACCCGTGGCTGTCGAAACCGTTGCGGTTACACACGTCTACGTCCGGCAGCAGGTCCTCGTGTCAGGATCAAATCGTACCAGAACTATCTATTAATCCTCAACAAGACTGACTCTCTCTCTTTCGGGGGAAGAATCATTATTCCGCGCGTGACGGCATTACTCTGTCTCATCCTAGTGCTTCTCTCGCGCCGACAGTCGGGTGGAATCCTTCGGCCGAGAGGGGGGAGTTAGCGCAATCAAAAGAAGAAAAAAGGCGAAACGATTTTCTTTTAACACATTGGCTGTGCCCGTAGAGCAGTAGCAGATCGGCGAAAAGCGAAACTGTTCTTATCTCTCAAAGAGCCCGAAAAAAATACACGCGAAAGGTCGAATGAAACCAACTATTATCAAAAAGAGCAATAAATTCAATAAAAAATTCTAATTTCAAAAGATTCGTAAATTGAGAAATATATGTATACCTTGGCAATCTCAATGTGTTAACGGCAGCTGATTTTACACGCTTCGTTCACAGAAGTTTGAGTCGCACAGTCTCCAACTTGGATCAAAGAATCGTATCGATCCTTGCATCGTGGAGACATGCGGCTAAATACTAAGGGTATCCTCCTCTTTTCGCCGGTCGAGGGACGGCCTAGAATAAGCTTCGAAAATAGAGCGTACTAACGTGAGAAGAGTAATCATTCTCGATGAAACTTTTACATAGAGGAGAGTAACCAAAGTCTCTATCCTGAATACAATGCCCTGGATTATTTTCCTCGTTTAAAGCTGTAGCCTGCGAGTTGAAAGGTCGAAACGATGTCGAAACCTTGAATAAGATGATATTATGTCTCTCCATTATATAAAAATAAGCTCACTCTAGTCCAGAGACAACTCGCGGTTGAAGCGCCGAACAGAGAAAGTAATTGAGGGGATCCTCTGTAAAATAGCGTCTCGATTTTGGTCATTCTCCGCTGGCAATTTCGGAGGCAACGTGACGCAAGTGATTAATCTCTAAAAAAAGTCTATCGGCTATATAGAATCCTAGATTCGAGAAACATTGCCATTACCGGTCCAAGAAATATTTTGCCTTGTTGCGTACAGATATATTCGCGCGCGCGAACGCGCGAATTCCTTGTGATAGAATCTGACAGATTCTGAGCGATATATGTGATACGAAATATACAGGTTCTTTCATAAGCGTTATGCGGTTACTTGCGATCATCTGTCTCTGAAGTCCATGTACATTAATTAATGTAAACGATCGAATTTGATGTTTGTATTGTGCGTTAGACATACCCGAATATATCCTCGACTTTCTCGTATTTCGCGTTGCGTATTTACCCGGATAATTTTTCACGCTATATTGGCGAATCTGTTATACACACAAATAAAGTTATGTAAATACAAGCGAGGGACGTGGAACTTATCGTAAGTTCAAGTACAACCGGTGAGCTTTGTATAGTATAGTGTATAGTATAAAGCGATGAATATATATGAATGGGATCAGAGATTGAGTCGGATGCAAAGTTAAAACGCAATCAAAAGAGAAAATATAATGATTCAGCGTGAAAAAATAAATCGCTTCATAACGACTAAACGTTTATTAGAAGGTCGAATAAATTTAACAAACGAATTTCTAATTATTAAAATCCGACTCATTCTTCCTGCATGCCCGTTTACTTGTCATTATTATATCACGGAGTCAATCAAATATACTAGGCGAACATTGAAGGAAGGAAAATTTCTCGTTTGAGTGCGATAAAACTTCATTCTCCGACCTAAAAACATTGCCTAAAAAGTTCAAGACTGCTTGGACGTGTGGCCTATACAATTAACTTTATTAGAGAAAACGCAAAATACGTTGCATCGTGAATTTCTAACTTAAGAACAATAAAAGAATACGCTTCTGGATTACTCATACGACAGAGTATCCATGAATATATTAAATGTGTTCATCAATGGCAATGTTTTCAGGTAGAAGTAAGTCTCTAGTGAATCAAAGATTTATTCTCTTCTGACACAGACCTCTAAATCATCGCTTGCGTGACATATGTATGTACGGCTCACTAGGTTTCGATTTTAAAAGCAAACGAAGCGAATGATCGACACTTTTTAAGTTTGGGCATATGAGGCTGCGCGTCCTATTTTGAGGACTTTTCTCTTGAATAAGATTCTTCGATCGATATAAAACTATGAATAATTCTCGACTACTTTCAGTAGACACTTATGTCATCGCAAGTCAATTATGAGAATAAAATTCCAAAGCAGACATTGACATTCTTATTTGCATCAATGCCAGGTAGCGTGATATTTTCATAAAGTTATTTTCTTCTTCGTATTATGGTGGGTTTAATATTGTAATTACTTTAATATCGATGTTAAATAAAGGAACACCGATGCTGCAGTCGGTAGACGTGCCCAAAATAATACTCCTGAAATGTTTTCCGGAGTCAAGACTAGGTTTAAAGCTAAGCAATCGAGATTAAAACCGCCATCTTATATAGACGAGACTAATTCGAAATAGAATTTTTTGATCCTTTTTAAACGATGAAATAGTTGCGAAGGGAAACCAATATTTATAAATGTTGTCAAATAATTTTAGAATCGAAATTCGATTCTGATGAACCAAAATTCATTAGTTTAGATATATATATATTCCAGAAAATTGCTTATTTAATTTGGGTGGAAATTTCTATGGGTGCTTTCCAATTATAAAATCACTAAACATTTCCATGCATACGACACAAATTATGCCGTAATTGTCGACACAACAGCTCCAGTGTTATCGGCTATATAAGCTTATGTTTTCTCGTGACAGGGATGCGTTCTAAAACTCTGTCAATTCAAATATCATTTTATTCTTGTTATTTACCGAATATTGAACAAGGATAAAAAATATCCAGAGTTGAGTTTTTGGAACGCATTCCAGGTTACTATAAATGAGATTGAAGGAAGAACCTCTGCTTCTCAAAGAGATTTTTGCTGGATCGTAAGATCAAATTAATGGTACTGCAATCCAAATATAGGGTCGGAAATCCATACAGGGAAGGGACTGTTAGAAGCAGAAGAAGAAGAGATTGGAGGACGTTGGGTGGCCAACATTTTTGCTTTTCTTCATTCAATACAGATGGAAAACTACATTTAATCCAACTATCCGAAACTATGCACAGCGTACATATTCTGTTCTAATTGAATCTTACACAATGCTACATTTCGTCCATTTCTGTTTACGTTGATTAATTGGAAAGCATCCTATAATAAATGACTGTGAAATGCCGCTTGTTTCGTGAAATCGGGATTTCGGGGAACATTGTACTAGACATGAGAATCGGAATTGTTGAAGTACAGCCTCATGTGAAACTCGACTCGACTCCGCGTCGGATAACGAGGAACATCTCGTAGCTTGTCAAAAACTTTGGGATCGAAATTGAAGAAAGAAAAGCTCCAGATACGATGAGTTTGTCGATCGAAACTGCGATTCGATCCTCATTCCCTCACGTTCGACGAAAGTACCATGTGTTCTTGTATTTAAAGATACCCGTCTACCTATCTATCTACATGAACTTTTTTGTAACTTCCGCGAGAGTGAAGAGAGAAAGAAAGAAAGAGAGAGAGAGAGAGAGAGAGAGAGAGAGACTCCTCTTTTCCTTTTTATTTTATAATATTCCCGCAAACGGGGCACGGTAACCCAGATGCGGTATTATTCCTCCTCGTATCGTTCTCAGTCAGGGTATAAAACGCCGCGCGCATTCATCGACGTTTAATTTGTACATAAGTTCGACGCGATTAAATCCTATTGTATTCAATCATTGTCTAGGTGCGTTTAAGGGACTTTTGTTTCTGTATATAGATAAAATAAAATGGCGTTTATGATGAAGAGCCATCTTTTTCTTTAACTTGCATCTTTCTCAGATTGACGCTTTCACTTCTATAATAAGGCAGCATTATGTTTTGGCAAATTTACGAATGTATTACACATATTTTAAAATAATTTAAAAATTATAGAAAAATTACGGATTATTCTAAATCGTATTTAAAAGTAATACAAAAAATTTAACAACTGAATCAAAAGCTATTTCAAAATAAAAGATATTTTTTTATTTGCTCTAATATTATAGAAATGTATTGTAAAATGACGTAAATCTCAATTTTTTTTTAGTATTTTAAGTATTCAAAATGTATTATTATAAAGTTAAATTACGATGAGAGATTATAATTGTTCTGTAAATAAACAAAATAATATTAATTTTTTTCTAAATTTTTGTATGAATCATAACAAAACTTAAAAATAAATGCATAAATCATTTTGAATACTTTAGGTATTTATACAAAAAGATTAAAATTTTTGTCGTTTTTTTTATTTTTATAGCAATAAAAATAACACAAATAAAGAGTAAATGAATAATAAAACGTGTTATTTAATAAAAGTAGAATGTTAGAAACACAATTTTCCCATGTACATGTATAATTTATTGTAAAAATGAGTGCAATACATTCTTAAAAAAAATATCATGTCTCTGATAAATGTTGAATTATTAAAGTTCGTTCTAAAAAGGATTGCCGAAATTTTAATTTAAAAATATTGTAATAAATATTATGAAATTTTTAAAAATTAAATATGTATATATAATGTATATATAATGTATATATAATGAAATCAATTTGATTAGAGGTCGGATTTTTTTCAATTTAAAGACAACAATTGCACATGAGACATTTCAATTTTTTTACTAAATTGCGAATTGTTTACATAATTTTTTTCGACCTGATACAATGTAAAAACAACGCTTTGACGCAAAAGAAAATCAGTAGCGACTAAAGCACTTGTAGGTCCTCGTCCGCAATCGGTTTTAAATCTTTTCAAAACAAAGATAATATTTAGTTT